GCCTATGACCCTAATATATATCACCTTCAGAATTATTTTATTTGCAATCCTTGGTTGAACATCAATCAGGTTAGAAAACCTAATACTTGGTTCAGACTTGTACCCAGTTTAAATATCTGGTAAGAACAATTTTTATTTTCTAACGTTATGTTGGGCAGGAAGTAAGAGAGAGAGATAGAGGGAGAGTTAAAGGGAGAGAGGATGGGATAGCCACTTTGGTCTTCAATCTTGCTTCTATGCTCTCCGGGTTAATAGTCATCAATGGAACAATGGAGAATTGGAATCAGGAAGTTCATATGCCGTGCAAAAATATTTGAGAAGCACTACTAGAACATTTTTTAAAAAAAAAATACTTGAGTTACCATTCACCACAGTTGACTTCTCTCACCCAGGAGCACTGAAAGTTAGAAAGTGATATTCATTCAAAAGCATTTCATATGGAAATTTTGGCTGTCAATATTTGTGTCACTATACAGGTAGTCCTTGTTTAGCAATCCTTGTATTCATAGCCTTTACTGGGCTGTAAAATAAAGGAAAGCTGAAGTAAGAACATAAGCACACTCATGATTTCACTTAGTGACTGTTTTATTTAATGACCAAGTTGCTAGTCCCAATTGTGGTCATTAAGGAAGGATTACTGTACCTGTATCTGTCTGGCAAAGACTAGGGAAATTATAATCATCACATGATCAACCCTTTAGTCTTTGTAACCGTACAATAGCCCTCCATTGTAGATTTTCAACAGTTAAAGATACAGTGAGGAAAGTATGCATTTTAATTGTGCCAAAATTTGTCTTCCAATTTCCTGCAAGTTTTATTACAGATGAAAAAAAGTTTCAATTTTATACCTCATTTTCAAAATACATTAGAATTCCTTTACAACTTCTCTTTAGTAGTTATTTTACACCTTATTGTTGCAAGATAGCAGGGATGTTGGGAAGTTATGTTTTTATTGTATATTTCACCACCACTTTGTACCTTCTCTGACTAATTTGGTATTCTGATCAATAAAACTTTGTTTTATTGAAGTTCGGGAAGCCAAAGAGACTAAATTTACCTGCAGCAATTATTATGCCATGAAGGATCACAAGCAGTCTTTGTTGAACGATCACTTGTTCAATGACCATTCGAAGTTATAACAGTGAACAAGTGGGGTCCATTATGATGGATCCTTGTTAGTTGCAATCATTGCAGCATCCCCACAGTTCTATAATCTCAACTCAGGTGCTTGGTAACCAGCTCACAACAGTCACAGCATCCTGCAATCACATGATCACCATTTGTGACCTTCACTTCCGGCTTCCCACGGGGAAAATCAATGGGGAAGCTGGTAGGAGATCACAAATAGCAATCATGTGACTGCGGAACACTATTACAGTGGAGGATTTGTAATAACAATGAAAACTGGAACTGCTGCAACTGCATCATAAATTTATGACATTCATTTAGTATCAGAGTTGCCAGTCTCAATTTTTGTATGAGAATTCCCAACCATGCGAATATTTATCTCCTGTGAAATTCTAATGTAATTTCTTTGCTGAGGTTCAAAAATGTCAGGGGGCAGATATTGTGTTTGTGACCACCATTTTAACATTTTTAGGCTTCTATTTTTTTCCCATTAAGTGGGAATAAACATTATTTTAAAAACTGCAGAAGAAAAATTTAACAATATTCTGAAATGACCGTGTTTACCTAAAATGGAGAGAAACATTTTTCAAATAATTTGCTTTCAAAATAGAGGAATTGTCCTAAATTTAATTTTCGAAAATGTGATAATGAACACTGATGTACACATTTTAAAGGACAAAAAGCCCTGAAAATTTATATATATTTTTTTAAAAAATGCTGAAGGCATACATTATGCCTATTGTTGAAAAAAGCTACCGAATGTTGACAAGCAACTCATACCAGTAAACTGCTGCTGCAAATCTGGTGAAGATTTACCTTTAAATTCCACATACCTATATTGCAATTACTTCGATGTAAGTCTAAACCAACCAAATGATGTAATGTATTATGCAGATCTAGCTCTTTACTCTGTAAATTACTTAACTTCCTATGATTAAGTCAACTAGCTAATAACTAAATCATCACTTTATGGCTTAGCACACAGGTGTCAAACTCGATCATATCACGTGACATGACAGATCATGACATTTTTTGACTTTGAAAAGCTGGAGTAGGTGTGGCCTGCACGTGACACATCCGGCCCATGGGCCGCCAGTTTGACACCCCTGTTTAGCATGATGTAAGAAGCTGACTAATGAGACACATTTGTGTATTTGAGGTTTGTGCATACACATTATTAAAGCAACCTGCTGTTTTTAAGCTGCTACAGCAGCAATTTTTATTACTATGAAAAAGCCTATTTAAAGACTACTTAACTAACCTGGGTTATCTCCTTAGGTTATAAAATTCCGATTTAAAATTCATTGCCTTTTTAAATGATAACTATATCTTTAACAGAGTAAATTAATGCAGCCAAGGTGAAGGACATTATGCAATCAGAAGTGATGTTAGAACAGTGGGAGTGCTGGAATGGAAGCTGGCAAGTGGGATGGAGAATGTGTAGGATTAAGGCACACACAGGAAATCAGTAATGAGACTTATTTACATCTGGAATTAATTCCACAGTACAACCCATTTTAAAAATCACAACTTGCTTTACATTAACAAATATAGTAGCTTCCTTTTCCAGGATACTTGGAAGGGCTGGTTCCCGTGGTGGGATTCAAATATGTGAACAACCGGTTCTCGGTGTGGATGTTGCTTCCGGAAGTCCATTCTGGGCCTTGGCAACAAAAAAATTAGCTACCGGTTCTACTGAACTAGTGCGAACCTGCTGAATCCCACCACTGGCTGGTTCCCATTTTAAAGACATACTGGGAAAGAGAAGTGGACTTAACAAGATGGAGGACTCAGTTCCACTATTGGAAGACTGAAAGAATAGATTAGGGATAGATCACCATGGAGAAAGTCTATCTATATAGTCACTTAGTGCTGAAAAATGACTTTATTGTGCTAGCTGAGTATTGGAGGCATAAGTAAGATTGCCTACTGCAAACCTTGTACTACTACAGGATTTTTTTAAAAATAGTTAAGAATATACTTGATGGTACATAATCAAAAATCAATCAATACAAAGTTAATGTTGCAATTAGTGCTGGGTTTTTGTAAGCATATGCTAGTCCAACCCTCCCAGATTATATGTACTATTGGGGATTATGGAAAATTCATGCCAATTGGCTACGTTACTGAATACAGGTGGGCTGAGATAAGAATCAAAGACAGTTGTGAGATTTGCTAAGGACAGGAAATACAAATAGCTACCAAGGCTGATCCCTGGCCTAATACTTGTATTGGTATAATATAGAATCATACGATGGGCTAATACCAATACTGGAGAAGTAAGCTGTTAGTATTTTCTCATCAGTGAATATTCCTTCACATACTATATTTGTGTTGATGGAGCATGACAAAAGTGGAAAAACATAGGAGTCATTGCTATATAATTATTTTCTGGCCTCCTATGCCCACTTTTCAATACCCGTGAAACATTACAATGCCCCCATTCTTTCAGAACTTCTGCATATTGATTTTCCATATATTTCTTCATGACACAAAAATTGCCACACCTCAGAGCACCATCATCCTCTTTGTAGCTATCAGAATATTCTTAAAAACACATTTGCCTTCTTGGAGAGCTGGATTTTATCCTTTGTCACATCCAGGAAGTTTCTATGGAGATTCTCAGTCATCCAGGTCATGGTTGTCCCAAAGGTGCTTTTTGAAGAGGCAACTGGACTTTCTTGTTTTTCTTTGAAGACATTTCGTTTCTCATCCAAGAAGCTTCTTCTTCGTCTTCAAAGAAAAACAAAAAAGTCCAGTTGCCTCTTCAAAAAACACCTTTGGGACATCCAGGAAGTTTATTCTCAGTATCTCACTTCACTGTATTTTTCCCATCAGCTTCAATACTCTTTCACCTACCCAGCTACCTTGCAAAGAGATTATTGGGTTGTCTTTTTTTGTAAACAAATAGTTTGGAGAAAGGAAGCAGATGTTTTTTCCCCCCAACAAAAACAGAAAAGGGATTTTTTAAGAGAAATAGGATGAGAACCATAAAGAACTATATATGCTCAGGTGAAAAGGATCTGCTGGCACTTCATGGAAAATGGCTGGCATTCTGCCCAGATATTGTAAGTTGCTAGACTATTCCACTACCACTATTACAATATTAATAAATAATAGTTATCATTCAGGTCTGAGTTTTGTTGGGACACCATCTCTGGATAAGATCATGAGCCTGCCTAATGGCGAAATTCGGTAATTCCGTCTTCCCAGAAGGCTATAAAGGAAAACCAAGGAAAGTGGTGAAAATAGAGGAATGCCCACCTGGCACTTGGCTCTATCAGAAATTGGCAGGCATTTTTGGAGTGGTAAACCATCACAGCGCTGCTCTTCCTGGTTGGATGGTCCCACATCCGCACCAGAAGAAAATATGAAGTGCAAAGTCAAAATGGGGATGTGGGGACAGTCTTGGGCTTTCGGTTGGGAAGTACGATCCGCTGTATCCTGAAGGATTAAAGTCCCATTTAAGCGTTCGCGCGAATGCAACCTAAACTACTGTTCGTTTGCCCAATTAAGAGAGGTCTAAGATTACGGCCGGGCGCGGGCTCAGCAAGCATCCACAACTCGGCGACCTGTTTTCGACACCATAATAAAGGGCGAAGAAGGAAACTGGATCTACTCGGGACTGCAAGATGCGCTCACTTTTCCCCGTAGCAGATTTCGACACAGAGGGACCCCCCTTGCTGGCAGGAAGAGAACCGGTGGATCGGCTGATGCCCGGCTGGCGTTGGCAGCGAGGAGGGGGATTGTGGGTCGAGGTCTCTCGTTTTTTTTCTGGCCAGATCAGGAGGCGCTAGGGCCCATCCCCAGCGCCGCTCTGTGCTCCGTGAAACAGCAGTGGGAGGGGCCGGTAGCAGCTCCAGGCGAATTTACAGTAGGGAACCGGCGGAGGAACCGGGGAATTGGCTGCCTCCCGCTGCGCAAGGGACAATTTCGTCATGTTGGTCCGGGCCTCCGATCCTTGCCCACCTCCTGTTTAGCCCGATGAGAATGAGTCCCCCGCCTGATTTGAGCGAGCTTCCTTTGCCTCCCACCGCTCAAGATATAAGACAGATCCAGGGGAGTCTCTCGTATCCTGGTCAGCAGTGACAACGTCCTGACAGCTGCTCCTGAGAAAAGTAAGGGACTGGTCTTCCTGTGAGTGATCAGGTGTATGTGTGTGTGAGAGACGTTCGCTACTAAAGATTAGCAGAGGGAGGGAGCCGCTGCGTTTCAGTGCAGTTGCTCTGATTTGGAAGGAGTGAAGGAGACAGTGTAGGATGCTGTACACCCAGGGCAGCCTTCCCCAACCTGTATCCTCAATATGTGTTAGGAAAAGGATTCTAGTGGGCGTTGTAATCTCTATACAGCCGAAAGGGGAAGCTAGGTTTAGATTTGTGGGGCTTCGTAGAATGTATATAGGTCTCTCTCTGTCACACACATATATATACATACAGTATATTATGTGGGCATAAAAAAAATAAAGAAAAGCGAAGACCACAGGAAGGGATATCTATGGGCTGTGTCTCAGCCCAGAGGAAAAACCTTCTTCAGTGCTTGATGGATTACCCTTAAATCTAGATCTAAAAGATGTTCAGACATACTTGTAATAGATTCAGCCAAAACAATAAAAGCTTATTAATAAGGTTAGACGCATCAAGCATATGTTTAAAAAAGAGAAAATCTTGGACAATCTAAGCAATGTAAAATTGCTTAAGCATTTGAAACAATTTTTTAAAAGATTAAAATTGCTCTGTTTTAAAGATTGCCATTCTTTAAATGCTTCTCCATGATGAATGTTAGAATTATGCTTAGAGATAACATGGGTGATAACTTAAGTATATTTTAGGTAAGATTTTTACTTAGATTTCATATGCTGGCTTTGTCCTGATGACCCATCTACTTAAGAGCTTCCTGGCCTGCTAATACCCACACCATCAAAGAGGTTGTTCAATGTCTAATGGCTCATTAATGACAGCAATCAATGCTAGATCTTAATCCCAGACTACATAAAAACAACTACAGACCTGTTCTATGGCTCCTTTGTACACCTACTCTTTTTCTCCTCCTCTTTCTTTCTCACCAAAACATAGAACATGGAGGTCTTTTTATGTCACCTAATTGCTTGTGCACATATGTAGAGAATTCCCATGATACGCACTTCCTGTTTCTGACGCAGACATGCTTGCTCCTCATCCCATACATCTACATACGTTCTTTCTTTCATCTAAACAGCTCCTATAATATGGAGCATGGGATTTGTTCGTGTGTGCATGTTCTAACACATTCTTTGCTTTTTACTTTCTCAAAACATGCCATCTCACATGAATAAATAGAAATCCACTTTGTATATATCTCCTTTGTGTTTCTCCTCGCTTAAGTGCTCATTTATCATCCCTCTTCTGTTATAGCTTTCTACATTTGTTTCTCTTTTGCCTTATATTTTTAAAGGAGGGAATAAACTATCACATCTTATATTTGAATTTGCAGGCAACATTGTGCTTGTTTTAAAGTTGTCTGAAAACAGATGAGAGCAGCAATATGTAACCTTGGAATATAATTTTGGAAGGCAGATGGAAGATTTTTTTTTTGTTGTTCCCAGTGAAGCCCCTTGCTTTGCCAGGTCCCACATTCCTTGTTGCATCTATATATGCTAGGTAAGTGCAAGGAACTTCAACATTCAGATGCACAAGGATGATGGGTTCTCTTTCCAAATCAAAAGGATTAAAAAGGTTTTCCCCTGCTGGGCCATTCCCCCCACTCCCCACCCCTGAAGAGTTACCATTTTTATAGTCTTTTCTCTGCTGTCTCCTACCTGTAGTCTGAAACGCAGCAATTTTCTAGCCTAAAACATGTTCAGACCAAGTCTCTGTAATTCCTGCTTCACCCGTTTGCAAAATTCATTTATTAATGCCTCTCTTCTCTACTTCCAAGCTTTTCTGAAGTCCTTCTTTCTATTGGTTGTTGCCAATCTTATTTGTAGGCATCATCTTGTTTTGACATCAAAGCAAATTGCATTTCTTCTTTTTATAAACAAAAAGGTGTATTTCTTTTTGTTAAAAAAATGCTGAACATGCTTTTCTTCTGCTATGTAGAGATGTTTTCTGCATTGTCCTATTAGCCCTATGAACAAATAAGTTAGTACTCACAGCAAAAGGGCATTATCGATCCAGTTCATCTGATGCAACTTATATATCTTCAAGCAGACCTATTTAACACATTTGTTGAGCTCATACTTGTTGCTATAGAAGTCATATATCACTTTCATAGGGGATGACATTTTTCGATTTCATGAAATTTGGGAAACAAATATTCCCCTATGTAGTTAATCACGTATTATTAACAGTTTAGAGTTGGTTGTACTGTATTTATTTTATCTTACATTCCGCTATGATATTAATACTGAAATATAAGAGGTGCTTGAGATTTTAACTGTTTTTAAAACAGCTATTGTTTTTATGGAGACTGATGGTTAATAATATTAGCTAGCCAGAATATCGCCATTTCTTTTATGTAGTCTTGAAATCCCTTATAGGAAACACCTCTTTAATTTTTTCTGTGTTTATCCAGGAAGGATGAGTAAAGAATTTTTCATGTGTGATCTCATTAGTTGGAGATTCACTGTAGTTAAGCAAAGACATACCAAAACCCTCAATCCTTAACAGTTTGACTATATTAATTATTTGTAGCTAAAGATGGCCTCAAAGAAGACTTTTCTGTTTAAAAAGACTCTTTTTGTGGACCTGTGAGTTTTGAAAAAAAAAACAACAACCTGTAACCAAAATAATATTTGAAAGCACTGCTACATTGATACATTCATAATCTTAAGGAGAAATATAAAAAGTTTAGATATCCATAGTCAGCATCTTAGCTATGAAATGATTTTCAAATATATATAACAACAATAATAACAACAACTTTATTGTCATTTTGAATGTACACCAGTTGGCATACACCAAAATGAAATTTCGTTGCATACAACTCTCAAAGGGCCACTACCTCCGATATATACTCCTTGTTCGTGGCTTCCAGCTGAAGTTTCAGATTGTCTATTTTAATCACTAGGGAGCGAACGATGGCAAACATATATACCCGAGTCTCCATTTTTATGATTTTGATTTATTTGCTTTTCCTATTAGTCATCATTTTTATTAATAAAAATATTTTATAAGTTCTATAAAAAGATACAGAAACATTTTTATAAAATGAAATAATACCTAAATATATTTACATAGCTTTATCTGATATTGGATTGCTTTCTCAGTTTTATTACATCTGGCTAACCTTGCTTAGGCCTTGAAGCTAATCAGGGTCTGTCCTGATTAATATTGAGAGAGGCTCTTTCTTTGTGGTCTAGATTGAGAAGCTGAAAAAAATATTGTAGAAGATAGCAGTGGCAAACCATTTCTGTATTTGCTATCAGGAACATTACATAAATGCATCCAGGAAGCAACCAGGAGTCATATTGGTCTTGAAGAAGACCATACTGATTAAATTGTTTTTCCACTAACTGCTTCTTAGCTACCTCTTGTCCAGAAGCTCAGTTTAGGAAATATATGTGAATGCTACATAGGAGTGCTTTTCAACCTTTTCACAGATTGTACCACTTTTAGGATATGGCAATATTCGAGTACCACCAGTCGCCTAGCAAGGTGTCAAAAACCTGATGACCAAAAAAAGGGGAAAAAGTAATAAAATACAGGTAGTCCTTGACTTACCACAGTTCATTTAGTGACTGTTCGAAGTTACAACGGCACTGAAAAAAGTAACATGACCATTTTTCATACTTATGATGGTTGCAGTATCCCCAGTGTCTTGTGATTTACATTCAGATGCTTGGCAACTGATTCATAGTTATGACGGTTGTAAAGTCCCGGGGTCACGTGATCCCCTTTTGCAACCTTCTGACAAGCAAAGTCAATGGGGAAACCAGATTCACTTAAGAACTGTGTTACTAATTTAACAACTGCAGTAATTCACTTAACAAATGTGGCAAGAACAGTCATAAAATGGGATAAAATTCATTTAACAAATTTCTCACTTAGCAACATAAATTTTGGGCTCAATTGTGGTTGTAGGTTGAGGACTATCTGTACACCAACTTACCACACTTTTAATGGGAAACTTGTGCCTGTTTCTCTGACATTAATCTTTGCACTGTTCTATCCCCTTCTCTCCTTCTGGTTGAAGAAAGAAGCCGATAGGTGATTGGGGTGTGTATGAGGCTTCTGCCATTGAAGAGGGGGCATGGGGAGTGTGTCGGGGTGCTAGTTGGTTATCCCCCCCAAAGATTCCCTAATTTTAAAACAGCTCTTGGGTGGCAACAGTTATGCAGCATGAGGGACTCAGGAGAAAGAGATGTGGCAATGCTAACTCCCAAGACTGAGGGGTTCAGATGCAGCTACAAGCAGGGAAGGCAGGGGGGAGCAAAGAAAGGAAATCAAACCTGATTGACAGGGATCATAGGAACCCTGCCCCTACTCCGCAGAGGGCAGATCCCCATCACCCCCGGCCTGGCAGGGGTTTCCCTGCCGCACTGTTGCAGACAAAGGGGGGCTCTGGTGAGAAGGAAGTGCAGGAAGAGGGTTTAAACAAGTTTAGCAACCAGAGTGGGGATCCCCCCCCAAAAAACAAACGTGCTTCATGGGTAACCTCCCAGCACAACAGAAGTGACCAAAACCTGCTGCATCCACCCAACAGACGGGAGGGGAAATAAAAACCAAACACCCCGCCCCCCGCTGCCAATCCTCAACAGAAATGCTCATGACAACGAAAACCTCGGATAGGAGGAAGAGTGTGGCCGGCCGGGCAGGCGGTTATCTTGCTTGGCTCTGGCTTGGAGGGGGGGAAAGGGGGAGCTTCAACCCCCCCCCAAACACTGCCCTCTCACAACAGCAGGAAGAAAACTCTGAAAACAATAAGGAAAAAAAGGTTAAAACAGAAGAATGTCTCGCAATGGTTTGCTTCCCCACTTCCTTCTATCAGTTTAAATATGTAAAGACCACAAAAGAAAAAACTTGGCTTTCTTTCGTTGTAATTCAGAAGGGAGGATTCGGGGGGGGGGTTGTTTGTTTCAAAGGAAGGGAAAGAGAGGCTTTGAGTCTGGGGGGGCGCAGTATGCAAACGGTGAGGGTGCGCA